ATCCCCATCCCTGGACTGGGGCCAATGGGCCACTGTGGAGCCAAGAAGGAGTATTTTGAGTTGCCACTGCAACGTAGCCTACTGCTCAGTGGGGACATGGAGGTTCTTGGATCACACTCTGTCTCCCTCCCAGGCTAATATTTTTACCACCCCTCTTGCCTTGTCCTCTTCAGGGTTGTCATCGGCCTCAACTAGGATTAGGAGCTCAGGCTCTGTCAGGGTCATAGACGGGGAGTGTGGACTAGCCCAGCCCTGGCCCAGTTTGAGGTGAACTGCAGGGACCAGAGGAGAGACCCGTCCCCTCTGATTTTTCTCTTCCCTGGTTAATCTCAGAATTCTCTGGAATGCAGACTGCCTCAGGCTAAGTTGCCTATGGGGACGGGGCTCCTTTCAGTCTGCAGACTATCAGAAGCCAGCTCCTGCATGGTGAATGGTCCCCTCCGTGCTTCCTGAGGACAGGGCTGGGCCTCTTTCCACTTGCCTCCAAGGTTCCTTCCTGAGAGACCGGCTGTGCCAGCCGCCTTCACCCAGCCTGGCTCCAGATGCTGAACGGGAATTTGGCAGACAATTTAAGTGTCTGTTCAATCAGAGGAACAATCGCAGGCCATTTCAAAGTCCAGTGACTACTGCCCACAAACAGAACATTCTAGAATGTCTGGGAGCAGGTTAGGAACTGGGAAATGGTCAAGGAAGGTGGATTATTCTGGGCTTCTCCAGATGGAGGAGTATCTTAAATTTCTGGGTGAGACATTAGAACACAGTGGTGGGGGGTGACTTACCCCAGGGCCTGCAGCAAATGATCTTAAGAAGTAAAGCAAGATCCCTGTAAGAAAATAGGTTGTGACTGGTAGTGATGAGCCGAAGAGCAGGCTTTACCTTATCCGAGTGGGACAGCCTGCACTGACACTGCCGCCTGCAACTGTGGGCTCACCGTCCCCTCCAACTTTGTAAGAGGACCTGGGAACCCAAGTTCTGTGTAACATTTCCCAGTTACTGAAACACTGCACAGAGCATGAAGCGCCCTTGGCTGGAGGGTTCTGCTGCCAGGCTGCTAGTTTGCGCCCTGGTTGACCGACCCTTCCTCCCCATGTGTGCGTTAGAGATGAGTTCCAGCACTTTCAAACAGTGGCTAGATGGTCACAGGGAAAGGTCTTCATGCGAGTCAGGGGGCTGGTATTTGTTTCCTGTTGCTGTTGTAACAGATCATCACAAACTTAATGGCTCATACAATGCAAATTTATTATCCTACAGTTTCATAGATCAGAGGTCTGGTTTGGGTCTCACGAGCTAACATCAAGCCCTGTCAGCAGGGTTCGTTCCTTTCTGGAGGATCCAGGCAGAATCTAGTTTCTTGTCTTTTCCAGCTTCCAGAGGCCACCCACATTCCTCAGCTGGTGGCCCCCTTCCTTCAAAGTCAGCAATGGGTTCCATCCTCCTGTCAGATCTCTCACCACAGCTTGAAAAGTTTCTCTGCATTTAAGGGGTCCCGTGATTGGACCCACCTGACAATCCAGTGTGATCTCTCCTTTGCAAGGTTGTAATTTAATCACAGCTGCAGACTCCCTTTTGCCACCTGAGGGCGTCTTTAAAGGTTCCTGGGATTAGGCTCTTCCCTGAACTTTTTGGCTTTTTGCTCCTTCTATCATAGGACAGAAACCTGTAATAACAGGATTTATCTTTCCTGATAACCCAGCACACTGCTCTGTTCAGGCTTCCTTTTCTTAAGGGATTGTTTCTAGCGGGGCCCCTTGGGTGCAGCCTTGCCCAGCCCTCACTTTTGTCAACATAGTCTTAGCTGCTGGTCTGGTTCCAGCTCCATCTGCTACCTTGGGGCTCAGAAGCAGCAGTTTTCTCTCTGCCTCTCCCTGTGGAACTTCTCAGCTGGGGTTCCTTAAGGGGGGGCTGGTCGGTCAGACTAACCTTCCTCCCTCTCCCCAGAGGCAGCAAAGGCTCCTGGGGGCCTGCCACAGGGTCTGAGTCAACATCACAGAGGCTGAGGCTGGAGGCCCCAAGGGCACGAGCAGGGCGGGATGGCAACTGAGTTGGGTCACAGCCCCCAAAGGGCTGGCTGCAAGCACAGGCTAAATCCAACAGGAGCACATTTATTTCTGTTCATTGCCAAGTCCTTTGCTTCAGCTCAAACAGGCCACTGCCCCCAAGAGCAAGAAGAGGGAGACTGGACACTTAACCTTAGTTTTAGCAGGTAGAGTGAGACCCACTGTGACAGGTGTCACCCTCAGCCCCCTGGGAGGATGAGACTGATTCTATCTGTGTGATGACTGGGCTGTGGACCCTTCTTCTGTCCCTTGAACCATCTGGGTTCCTAACACATGCACGCACGCACGCACGCACTCACAACCTTAAGTGGTGGCGTTAGAGGGAGGCAGGGCATTGCAGCAGGATGTGGTCACACACACTGATTCTGGAGCCAGGCTTGAATCCTAGCTCTTACGGTTTCGAGTGTCCTGGGGAAAATGACATCGCCTCAATTTCCCTGTTCCTAAGCAATGACCATTGCACCTACTCCACATGGTTCTTGTAAGGATTAAATGGATTAATATCTGTAAAGACAGAGAGTCCCTGGGCATAGCCATAATATGGCTTTGTAAATAATAAACATGGATAATCTGCACTGTGAAGATAATCGGGAAGCTGGTTCTTTGGTCAAACGTACTTTAGTAACTCTAGTTCTCTACTAGAAGTGAGAATTAAATTCTCAAGTTATTCAGCTTGAAAGAAACTGAGGGGATTTAGCACATCCAGACTGCACAAATGTGGCTGTGACCGTAGGTTACATTAATAGGAACATACTTGCTAAACTAGAACAACTAGTCAGTCCCTTGCAGAGCCTGAGTTATTTTGGGGTTCTTTCTGGTTCTACCCAAATCCTCTTACCCACAGTTTGGACAGAGAATCAATGCATTTTAATTAGAATCAACATTCTTAATGAGGGCCTCACTCTATCCCTTGATAAATTTGACCCTCAACAGTAACCAAGATTTGAGGCCCCAGCTGAGAGATCTTGTTGGCTTCCCATCCTATAGGTCTAGCTTGAAGCAATGCAACCAGCTCTGGTTGCCACAATTAGAAAGAGATGCCAATGCAGGCAAGCTGGGGAGGAAACTTGAAACTTGACAAGTGAAGACTCTTGGAAACAGCCAGAGCCATTCGGTTGGAGGTGGGAGGACACTGGAGAGCCATGAGAGCTGGCTTCAAACCATGGGAAGGGCTGTTAGGACAGAGTGAGAGAAAAAACTCTTACTAAACACTATGCTCGGAGCTGTGTGTCTCATGTCTAGTTAAATGCCCGCAGCAACCCTGTGGAGGCAGACAGAACTCCCGCATGCAACCAGGTGGGGAAGAGGTGGCAGATGCCCTGACCGCCACGTGCTCTAGCTGGTGGCTCGTGGATCCTCTAGCCTCACCTTACTACTGCAACGACTGCACGATGTGTGTGTTACATTAGGAGCTTTCTAATATTCAGAGCTGGTAAAATGATGCGGAAATTATGTGGTTGTTCCTTACCATCAGAGATGTCCAAACAAATGCTTGATGACTATCATCAAAGATTGAAAAGATGACTTATTCATGTGTTGGAGTGGAAATGGAACCTCTATGAAGGAACCATCCCACTTGGAGGTTCTGAGTTTCTGTACTTTGGGATAGGATATGCACTTCAGATATATTGTGATGGTTTTTGCTGTATTTTCCACTCCCGCTTCCATCCCATCTCCTTCTCCCATTTAGGCAGGTATTCTGTTCTGGGAACATGCCTTTTTTAAAAGGAGAGATTTGGTAGCTGGCAGTTTGGCACTTGGGATAACAGAAAGGCCCCACTCCTCTCTGGCTGTCGAGTCTAATGTTTGAATAAGTTTACTAAGGAGATGGTGTTACACTCCTCCGAGGCAAACCTACAAAGATTAGTGAAGGAAGCAATTAAATCACGTTCCCTTCCCTCCCCTCCACTTCCTGCCAATAGGAAAACCCAAACCTCTGAAGGTAGGATTTAGGCTGGGATTGGTTTAAGATAATATTCTATCCCATCATAGTGGGCAATTCCTATAGAAGTCAGGTTGACCTTTTGAAAATAAAGTTGTCTCTCTTACACCAGCGGTGGGGAACCTTCTTTTCTGCCAATGGCCATTTGGATATTTATAACATCATTCGAGGGCCATACAAAATTTTCCACTTAAAAATTAGTTATGAAAAAAGCTCCGAGGTTTATTGAATTTCCAGTCCCGCCTGCGGTTGCCCTGGCAGGGCCAGACCAAATGATTTCTTGGGCTGTATGTGTTCCCCGCCCCTGTCTTACACACTCGAGTTTGTGAACAGAGACCAATTTGAAACGTGGGAGATGAAGGGTGTGCCCGCTGAGAGGCTACACAAAAGTGGTTGCGAACCTGAAGTTCTCGGTCCTCTGCTGCCCCTGCGTGGACATAGCTGGAAATAGCTCAAAATTTCACTAGGCAGGAGTGTGAAATTGAATTTGGGAGAAACCTCCCCTGAGCACTGGTGGTGGAGGCTGAAAGGCTGGTGGGGGCTGTGGCCCCCAGGCGGGAGGCAGGAACAGGCAGGAATTGCTGCTGTCCCCAGCGGGTCTGGGGTTCTCAGGTGAGAGGTACGCAGCTCAGACAAGCTGTCAATGACTTCAGGAGGCTCTGTTCTTGTTCACCATCTTTATTTTTCCCCTTAAGACACCTGGACCCAGCAAGCGAAGGATCATTTGAAGACTCCCAGCCATGCACCTCTGCAGATTTGGGCCACAATCAGCACCCGTGGGCACAGCGCCAGCCCTCCCACACCTCCTTGTCCTGTGCTTGGAGTAACAAGTCTGTGGGTTTCTCCCTCGGTTTCACAGCTTTTCATGCCACCTCTTCACCGGCTGTCTCCACACTACCATCTCCACGCTCCCTACACGGTCACATTCATGCCCGCCGCATCCGACTCCCTGCACGAGCACAGGACAGAGATGGCCCTTTTGTTCTGACAAGTGAGAAAGGGGAACACTGGGGCACAAAGAGGGGAAGGGGCTTTGAATGACTGGGGGGCGCCCTGGCTGCAATCCAGCAGTGTCTGAATCCCAGGACCGACTTCTACCTGCAGCCTAGTTGCTTCCTTCCCTGGTCAGCTCCCTCCTGGGCATCCATCACACTCCCCATCCCAACAAGACAAACAGCAGTGGTGGGACCATGCCCCAGCCCTCTCGCTCTCCAGCCTATAGGACAGGATGGGTTATCTGGGCCTCCCGACACTGCCTCCTGGGCCTCCTCTCTCCATCCGGGAGCCAGGGACCCAAGCACCTGGCCTGAGCTCCCTCCCGCCCTCATGCCTCCAGACCCCGCCGCAGCCTGCGGTCCAGGGCCAGGAGCTGCCTCAAGAAGCCCCGGTTGGGTATGATGCCTCGGTGGTCCTTGACTTTCTTGATGGCCTCCACGAGGGTGAAGTGGTGGCACAGCATGAGGTAGGCCAGCACCAGCGTGGCAGATCGGCTCACTCCCACGGCACAGTGCACCAGGATCTTCCCTGAGGACAGACACGAGGCGCTGTGGGACTGTTTGCAGTGGGCTGGAAGAGGCTGGGGAGAGGGCTATGCATACAGTGAGGAGGAAGACATGAGTACAGGGGCGCAGAGACGGGGGTGCAGATGAGTGGTAGTAAGGATGCAGATCTCCAGTGAATTCTAGACAGAATGAGATGGAGGCACGCAGCAGGCCAGTGTCCATCAACACAGAGGGCTCAACGGGAGAGACTCGTAAGGAATGCAAACCCGGGCCCTTCGCAGAGTAGGGCCTCAGTTGCTGTGTGCTGAGGGCATCAAGGGAAAGCACCCTGAGTCTAACCTGGCCCCTCCTTAGTCTCCCCTGCCCTTCCATCTTGCTATTTCTTTTTTCAGGGGGAGGTGTTTAATATATTTTTTTATTTATCTACACTTTTTTCCTGATCACTAAAGCAAGACATGCTCAAAGTAGAAATAACTGGAAAGTATGGAAACATGTAATTTAACAAAAGACGGAAATATATCACCCATAATTCTACCACCCAGGTGCAACCTGCCACTCTCTTAACATTTCAGATTAGTTCCTTCTTGGTTTTTTACTGTTTTTACATTATTTCATGTTTTCCTTTCCTTAATATCATATCTTGAGAATTTTGTCATATTATTAAAATCTCTCTCCCCACACCGGCACCCTCAGGCTTTTCCTTAACCTAACATCCACAGCCCCTTCCCTCTTTGCTCTCCCCTCCTACCTCCAGGCTGGCTCAGCGCCCTGTGGATGAAGTCGGCAGCCGTCTGGAAGTGGATGCTCATGTCAAAGGCTGGCGAGTCGTGGGCCTCGACACCCAGGTAGCGGATGCCCAGCCCCTCGTAGGCCTCATGTGTGCCTCGCCACCTGCTGTGCGAGGCATTGAGGATGTGGGTGATGCCCAGGCGCCGGAGCTCACGGTGGTTGTTAGCTATTTCCCTGCATGGAGTAGAGGTTAGAGGAAGGGTGGGGAAGCAAGGCTGGGGGGCAAGAGTCCCTGTCTGTGCCCTGTCTACTGTCCAGCTAATGTCATTGGCCCGAGGCCTCCCCTCTGCTTACTGATGACTCAGAAGGAAGGAACCAAGATGGGCAATGACCTGGAGTCTTGCCCTGGGGAGATTTTGCCTGGAGAAGAAAAGACTAAGGGAGGTATGTGTGTGTGAACGATGCCATAATAAATACTGAAGAGCGTTTCCAGGCTGTGGCATTTTACTTGATCTGTAGGAAGGATTTACTGGCTCTGTACTTCATGCGAGAAGTCAGTACTAACAGTGGAGTTCAAAGCATAACCTTGAGAGAGAGTAATTTTCCTGTCACCGAGGAATTCAAGCAGAGAGAGGTCAGTGTGGCCTGGATGCAGCAGAGGGACTGGGACATCAGATGGGACATCAGATTGGACCAGCTTGCATTTAACATCCCCACTAAGCTTGAGATGATATGATTTGACCCTTGCTCCTGCACCTGACTTCCCTGTTACTTTATACTCTCATTGGCACCCAGAATCTTCTCTTGCCAGTTGTTTCCTGCTCACATTTACCGTTTTATGATGTCACCTTTAAGTGTTCATGTGGCCTCTACCCCTCAGCTTAGTGGCAGACACCTCTCAGTGAGCATGGTCCTATCTCAGGGCAGATGCCCTGTCCAGTGCAAACTTCTTGAGGAGAAAGAGCACTGAACTCGAACCTCCAGGTCCTGGCTCTGCTACTTACGACCTGTGTGGCCTTAGGCCAATCACAACTTCTCTGAGCTTCAGTTTTCTCGTCTGTAACCTAGGGTTAGTGGTGCCTACCTCTCAAGGCTGTTGTGAAGATTAAGAGAGTAAATGCATGTGAAAAACTTCTCGTATACTATAGAGCCCTTGAGAGGAGAGAGAGGGCCTGTGTTTCCTCCGATGCTCTTCCCTCTAGAGTCCCATGTAGCAAGACCTCTGCATACACTGCAGCCTTGCTTGGTCAACCCTTCACTGTCCTGCCCACTGCTGCTGGCCCCCAGTGACTACCTTTTTTTCAGAGCCACAACATAACAGATGGGAGGTCAGATAAGTCATCTATATCGGGTACAGAGCTTTCAATAATAAATTTTGCTAAATATGCCCGGCCAGGCGTGGCTCAGCAGTTGAGCATCCACCTAGGATACAGGCAATCAGGGTTTGATTCCCGGTCAGGGCACATGCCCAGTTGCGGGCTTAATCAATGACTCTCTCATCATTGATGTTTCTGTCTCTCTCTCCCTCTCCTTTCCTCTCTCTGAAATCAATAAAGATATATTTAAATAAATAAATAAATAAATAAATAAATTTTGCTAAATAAATGGCATATTGAACAGCATCTTTCTGTCCAGAGTTGGGCAGATCAATAATCCTGCCCAATCCTCCCAAACCCTGCAGCCTCCACTCTGTGCCCAGGCACCCCCACCCCTTGAACCTCAATCTGGAACCCACAGTACAACTCAGTGCCTCTCTGCCACCCTTCTCCTTCCTTTTTGCGCGCGCGCACACACACACACACACACACACACACACACACACACGACTGGGGCCCTGGTTTGCTGGGTACGTACTGGTCTCCAAGGTAGAGGCCTGGCCAGACCTCGTCGGCGTGGTTACAGGCTGTCTTGCCTGTGTAGAGAAGCCTCTCTAACTCAAAGACATTGAGGAAGGGATGTTGAACACTTGGCATCTCCTCCAAGGCCCCTCTCGTGCGGACAGGAGACCGTGAGCTACCCCGGGAGAAGCGGGCCATGAAAGTCATGGAGGCCCAGAGCCAGTTCCCAGGGCACATCTTAGAGGTGGCAGAAACTGTGGCAGCTGCCCGGGCGGCTGCAGTGATGATGGCTGGGTCTCCACGTAGCTGTTGCTGGAAGAGGAAGGGATGTGAAACACACCTGAGGGCGTCCAGAGCAGCTGCTTCCCTTCCTGCCAACTGGGCTGGGCCCTGGGGAGAAGATTCTCCAGGGAGGGAAGGAAAGGCAGGCCTGGCCCTGGCAGAGCTTCCGGGATTATCTTCTCCTTGGGCTGCAGCAGCTCCAGCTCTGTTCTCTGCTCTTTTGGTTCTGCCACACAACGAGGTGGGAGAGTCACATGTCCTTGTTTACAGGGAGAGGGAGCTGCCCAGCTGCCGGTTTCTGCTCCAGCGCCCTACCCCCACTCCCACCACATATACACAAACACACACACAAACATTTGGTGTTTGGGTGGCAGTGCCCATGCTGGAGCTCTTGCCAGCCCGAATCCAGTCTCATCTGCCTGGGGCTACAGCCAGAGAGGCTAGGGAGTCGGGGTAGGAGGCAGGGATGGTTCTCTTTATTCAGGGAGAATTAGCAGGAAGACAGCGGCAGCTGGGGCCAGGACCTATGCCAAACCTGCCTCCTCTGGGGCCAGAGAGGTGGGCTGCTTTACCCCTTCCCACCCTACCACTGGCTCAAGATAAACCTGCTGTGGGAGGTGTACGCTGGGGGATGGGGTGAGTGGGAATCACAATGAAGGGGAAGTGTAAGTTTTTGAAGGCTACTTGCTGAATGCATGAGCGGATGAAAGAAGGCGCCGAGCTATGTGCACAACCATCAAACTACCCTCTATCGATCAGCATAGAAGATTAAACCTCATCTCTAACGTGAGAATTTCTGAGCGGAAGCAGGGCTGGAATATTGTGTATGTGTGTATGTGGGAGGGTGTAAGGGGAGAATGGAGAAGGGGCAGGAAAGGGAAGAACGAAGGGTCCTGCTCCCCAGGGGCTCAGAGGCTGCAATCACCAGCCTGGCTGCTCTGGGAGGTAGGCCACCTCCTAGGCCGCATGGGCCTAGCCTCTGACTCTCTGGACAGCAGGCCCTCCTGAAAGGGGGACCATGTGCTGAGCTGCAGGGCTGGGAAGGGCAGCCTGTGAGACTTGCCCTGGGATTTTCAGGCAGAGGGGAGACTGTGGCAAGAGTGGGCCCTTTCATACTGTGGCCCTGCCTGTCTGTAAAGGCAGGAGGGCTGTGGGCAGGCTCCCTCTCCCACTCCCTCCCCGGTCTTCAGCCCCAGAGCCCTCCACTGACGGTCCAGCAGCAAAGGCCACCTTTGTCCTGCCCACATTCCAGGCCCCCACCCCACATGCTCCCTCCCGTCTTCCCCCCAGGCCAGGAGAGACCACCACTTGCAAGGTGTGGGACGCAGGGGTATTAGAATAAGGGCTGGTGAAACCAGACTGGATTTTGGGGTGTGCAGGGAGAAATTTTTTCAGTATCTGAGGCAGAGCACAGAAATACAGCCTTGTAGCCAGCAGCACCACCACCACCATCATCATCACCACCATCTACCTTGTCTCCTCGGGCCCAAAGGCCCCATCACTTTATTCCCAAACGACGTTTTTTGGAAGCAGAATCTGTGCCTGTGGGATGCTGAATGGCCAAAAGGAACCGGGCAGGAAGCCCCTCCAGGGGGCTCTGTTCCTCCCGGGGGCGGGGGAGCAGCCCCACTCCGCCCCGGGATACACACACCCCTTGCATTCCGCGCCCCCACCCGCCGGCGTCCAGGGCCCCGCGCC